TCAAGAGTTATTGCAATTTAAATTTTATATGTTTTTACTATTTACGCTATCACTACGCCACTGCTAATTATAAAAAAATTCGATTAATGATTTTTCACTATGCACTATGTTTGTAATTAGATACGTATGCATTAGACACCCCAATGCCATATGGCACATTAAATTTTTCGCTATGCCAGGTACCCTAGATAGAAACTAAAGAAAGTTAAGGGATACCCAAAAATTGGGATCTAAAGCGGGGTAAAGATTATAGTTATAGTTACTTATTGATGCAGTTAGGGATAGATAGTTATATAGATATCAAGAATGTAATTATGCAGTATCCCGCTTTAGCGGGGCCCCCTTTTTTGATTTGTATTACCCGTGCAAATAAGTAAAATGGGGGTAGTTGTACATATTGCAGCTCGGTGGTACCGATATATATATGGGCTGGTGTTGGGAAGAATAAATTTCAGTAAATCTGTTTTTTGATTTTTGGTTTACCATAGAGACTAATTTTCGCAAATATTATTTTTTGTACATTTTACCCAATATTAATTTTTTTATAAAAAAAAATATTGATTTTTTTGTTAAGACCTAGTTTCTACCGAAAATATGTATACTTATCCTTGCGAAAGCGAAAATGAATCGGGTATAGAAAGTGACAATGAAACAATAAATAATTATAACGTAAATGATGAATTTTATTGCGAATCATGTGGTGGCAGTAAATGCAATCCTTATGATCCGAACTGGGAGCATAACAATGGTGAAAATCATGTGGATTACTATGATTATAGATTCATATGGATTCCATATTGTAAACTTTATGGTTTCGAAAAAATTGGAGAAGGAGGATTTGCAACTGTATACAAGGCAACTTGGTGGGATGATGTTACGTGGCAAATTGAGGATTATAATGAAAATGAAATAGTGGGACCTAGGACAGTTGCACTTAAAGTATTTCATGATTCATATAATTCAGATAAAGCTTGGAATGAGGTAATTTTTATTTATCATAAAAATTTATTTCAACATTTAAATTATACAGCTAATATATTTTTTTAAAGGTTCATCCCTATCGCGAAATTGGATTAAATAATGTGTCATCTTCTATGTATGGAGCGTTAGATCCAGAAATTAGATTAGAAAATTTATCATTTTTGAGATGTTTCGGAATGTCAAGTAATTATTCTGGACATTTTATCCTTGTAATGGATTACGTTGAGTTGGGTTCTTTAAGCAAAAATCTTCATTCTGTATCTCAAATGAGTTGGGAAAATAAGTTGGAATTGTTACATAGTATTGCTTCACAACTTCAATCAATGCATGAAAATTCGTATACTCATTAAGATTTACACGGTGGAAATATTTTACTACATTCTTTGATCGTGCATTTCTTGTGGATGTTGGATCTAGTAACGAACAAAATGACGAAATTTGTGGAGTTATTCCTTATATTGCTCCTGAGGTTTTATCAGGTAAAGAGTTCACAGATGCTGCCGATATATATGCGTTGGGTGTTGTCATGACGGAAATATCAACAGGACAGAGAGCTTTTGATGGTGAACTTTTCGATGAAGACTTACAATTAGATATTATTCTTGGATCACGACCGGAACTAGCTCCCGGAACTCCTGATTGCTATATCGAATTAACAAAACAATGTATGCATTCCGACCCACAAAAACGACCTGATGCTTGGCGTATTTGTGATAAACTTTATAAATGGTATGAAATTGTAAAGCATGCAGATGAAACGAATGAAATTAAAAAACGATTCCTGGATGCTGATGAATTCAAACCAAATCTCAAACTACCAAAGCATTCAGCTAAGATGTACACTAGTACATTTATCAGTACACAAAAAATACAATCAATTATTTCTAACTGCAATTTACCAGATTTGACACACGTCACAGCAGAAGACATCCACTTTTTAAATATGGATATGGTTTACCGAATTTAAATAAAATTCGGAATTTATACGGGCTAAACGCTGAGAAAATTGAAGAAACTGACGACATGGAAGATTTGCAACTCATAATCAGTTAGAGATGGATCAAGCATTTATATAGAAAACTATGTAGGTACCAAATTTTGATACGTGTTAGCCTTATTTATTATATGTATAAATAATTATTAAAGGAACAATATAATCCCCCTTTTTGGTTAATCTATAGTATAGGTGGGCAATATAGAATTATTATAAGATTATAATATATAAAAATAATTATTTGAACTAATTTAAGCAAATTTAGAATAGTTAGGGTTAGGGTGAGGGTTATAGTTTAAATTAAGGTTAGGATTAGAGTTTTTATAAATTATAATCTTATAATACAGTCAGGGATTTTTAGTAGTTCAGGAGATCTACATCACCAATCTACGTAGTAGTTTAAATCAATTTAATTTTTACAGTTTAAAGTACTTTTTATAAAAAAATAAAACTACGAAAAATAAACAAAAAAGAAGTATAGAAAGTTTTATTAGGGTTGTAGGATTCCACTATTAAAAATAATCCAAAACCCTTTTTGTTTTAGAGAAGTTAGTGGAGTCCTACAATCCTAATAAAACTTTCTATATACTTCTTTTTTGTTTATTCTTCGTAGTTTTATTTTTTTTAAAAAGTACTTTAAACTGTATAAATAATATAAATAATGTAAATTTTTATGAATCTGTAGTTCGGTCTCCTGAAAACTCGATACCAAAATAAGTGATTCTTAATTGTCACATTCAATAATTTCTGAAGAATCAAAATCTTTTTAATAGATCATGGCATGTGACAATTAAATTTTTAGAAAGTGTGAAAATTCCCACGCTCCTTTTTTTTGTCGATATAAATATTACTGTATTACACAATACAACTCACATTGTTTTTATTTTTTTATAACCGTGCCTCTTCTAATTCACCTAATCGTTTTTTTTTATCACGGAAATGACTCCTCCCAGAAAAAAGTATATTTTTCACGTTGCTAGAACATGGGACGGTAAATTTAAATGTCCTAGATGCCATTTTTGCTTTTCAAAATATGATAAACTTGAAAAACACGTACAAGAAATTCACATTGTAACGAAAAGAGGATTAAGTTTTCGAAGACAGGCTCTATATGAGAAAGATCGTGACAACGTGTCGTTTAAAGTAAAAATATGTAGTGAACTTGATGACATTACTAGAAAGTTAAAGAGCGCTGAAGAAAAATATCTACCATTACTTGAACGTGGATTACCTGTTAGCAACGACTTTCGTCGATGTTTTAATAGTATTTTGGAGTTGAAGCAATCATTTGAAGGGTTTAACCAAAGGCAAATAAATCAAACCGAGTCAATTTTATATGGAAAAGTTGCCACTGTAAAGGAACGAGCAGCAGCAATTATTAAGAGGTAAAATCTTAATTTAAATTATTTTTTCTTTAAGATAAGTCTCTTATTTATTGATAATTTTTTATTGTTAGTCTGCAGGATGAGGTTACAAAACTTAGCATCGAGATCATTAATAATAACAAAATGATCGAATTATTAAAAAAGGATCATGAGGCATTACTAGAAAACAATGATGATTATTATGTTAAACGTTGTCGTTCGTTACAGCGTGCAAATTATGTATTGAAGCAACGAGTAAGTTTTTAATATCAGATATTTCGAATATCATGTACTATAAACTATTAATACATCTAATTATTTACCATATACCGTATATAGAATTTAGAATTGAACGAAGAAATTGAAGATCACACGAAACAGGTAAGTTTTTAATATCAGATAAATGAATATATCTATATACTATATCAAAA